CAAAAAAAAAAAAAAAAAAGAAGAAGAATCTGAAAATTATTTAGTTTGCTAGAATGTTATAATCACTAAAATTGCATTTCAAACATTGTGGAATTATCTCAAAAGAATTTTATGTGGTGCTTTTAGATTTGGATCACAGTTGAATTATATCTCTTAGCACTAAATAACATATACTTTCAGTTAGCATATTTTTTGGCCCTTTCAATTATGTTTTATTATTGACATAATAGACATATTATTCCATACCCATTAAACAATAACTCCCACTCCTCCATTCCCCCATCCCTTGGTAACCATCATTCCACTTTCTGTCTTTATGATTTTGACTACTCTAGGTACCTCATATATGTGGAATTATACCATATTTTGTGGTGTGCCATGACTAGCTTATTTCACTTAGTCTAATGTTCTCAAGGTTCATCCATGTTGTAGCAGAATTTTCATCTTTATAAAGATTGATAATATTCCATTGTAAGTATACATTGCATTTTGCTTATCCACTCATCTGTTGATGGACACTTGGGTTGCTTCCATGTTTTAGCCATTGTGAATAATGCTGCTATGAACATGGGCGTACAAATATCTCTTCGAGACCCTGCTTTCAATTCTTTCAGGTATATACCCAGAAGTGGAATTGCTGAATCATATGGTAATTGTATTTTTAATTTTTTGAGTAACTGCCGTACTGTTTTCTAGTGGCCTTACCATTTTATATTACCACTAACAGTGCACAAGGGTTCCAATTTCTCCACATCCTTGCCAACATTTATTATTTTCGGGTTTTTTGATAGTAGCCGTTCTCATAACTACTATCCTAATGAGTGTCAGGTGGTATTTCATTGTGGTTTCAATTTACATTTCCCTAATGATTAGTGATGTTGACCACTTTTTCATGTGCATATTGGCCTTTCATATCTCTTCTTTGGAGAAATGTCTATTCAACTCTTTTGTCCATTTTTGAATCAGGTTGGTTTTTTTTGTTGTTGAGTTTTAGGAGTTTATATATTCTGGATATTAATCCCTTATTAGATATTTGATTTGAAAATATTTTCTCTCGTTCTATATGTTACCATTTCACTCTGCTGATAGTGTCCATTGATGTGCAAGTTTTTAATTTTCATGAAATCCGATTTGTCTATTTTTTTCTTTTGTTGCCTGTGTCTTTAGTGTCACATCTAAGAAATCATTGCCAAATCTGATGTCATGAAGCTTTTGCCCTATGTTTTCTTCTAACAGTTTTATAGTTTTAGCTCTTGTGTTTAGGTCTTTGATCCATCTCAAGTTAATTTTTATATATACAGTGTTAGGTGAAGGTCCAACTTTATTCTTTTTTTTTTTGAGACAGAGTCTCACTGTGTTGCCCGGGCTAAAGTGCTGTGGTGTCATCCTAGCTCACAGCAACCTCAAACTCCTGGGCT